GTGGCCCCATCTGTCCGTCCCCAACAGAATTTGTTTGGCTCCGTTAAAATTCTGTACAATCAACAGAATTTATGAGGGAGCCACAGAGAAAAAAAGCGTTTTACAGAAACGGGTAGAGCCATACTGACGTCAGCATAGACAACTATAGAAATCCACACAGCCTTACAGAATGAAACCAAGTGTTACAGAATTCGCGCCGCCGTCTACGGATGATAGGCACCCGCAACAGAACCGCTGACCGGACCAAAAAGGTCGACAGAATTCCATAAAAAATCGATGGCAATCGCTGCCAGGAAGGGCCCGCACTTATGATTTATAGTATGCTGTGATGATGTGTTCTGTGTGTGTGCTGCCTCCAGCCAAGTACCGGCAGCGATCGCTGCTGGGAAGGGCCCGCACTTGTGATTTATAGTATGCCGTAATAATGTGTTATGTGTGTGTGCTGCCTCCAGCCAAGTACTGGCAGCGATCGCTGCCGGGAAGGGCCCGCACTTATGATTTATAGTATGCCGGGATGATGTGTTCTGTGTGTGTGCTGCCTCCAGCCAAGTACCGGCAGCGATCGCTGCTGGGAAGGGCCAGCACTTATGATTTAGTACGCCGTGATAATGTGTTCTGTGTGTGTGCTGCCTCCAGCCAAGTACTGGCAGCGATTCGATATGCCTCTATTCGCGACAAGCTTCCAGAATCTCAAAGTCCATGACGGATGGCAACGGAATGCCAGGAAAGGGAACGGAAAAAAAACATCTTTACAGAAATTGGTGGCTGCAAACACCCCCTTGACGGACAGCTCCAGAGCCAAAAAATTGGAAGCTGACGTGGCATGAACGGCAACAGAAAACCGGCCCCGGCAAAACAACAGAAAAGTGACGGACGGATTTTTTGTCTTGAAGAAAAATACGGACAGAAAAAAACAGAAAAAAAGCTGAGCGGCCACGTCTAGCCAGCAGGCAGCAGGGAGCCGATCGGGAGATGCAGCGGGTTCCCAAGACCAGAGAATGCCTCCAATGCCGAGGCGGGTGGGGCCACAGCCAAGGCCGCCACAGAACCCGCCAAGGAGGAGGGAATTGGAGACAAAGAACCCGAGAGGGCCCTCCCTTCAGCCCCCGAAAAAATGGGCAGCGGGGCGGTAGGGGTGGGGGCCGTGATCGGACCGGAATGCGGCAAGGGGGGCAGGTGGCTGGAGGGACCCATGCCCGCCAACATTTGGCGGATATGCTCCTCCAAAAATGGCAGGAGCTGCCCGGCCAAATCGCGGGCATTAGGCAGGTCCAGCGGCCCCAAAACAGTGGGGCAAGGGGGCCGGTTCGGGCTGTGAGACAAAACATCGGGCGCCCCGACGATCGGGCGCACCGCCGGGGGCATACTCGCCCGAGGGGGGGAGGATGGGGGGTACAGGTCCCCCCCAGCCGATTCGAAAATTGTGCCCCCCTCGGCCGAATGGGCACGGAGGGGCATGCCGATCGGTTGGGTGGAGACCACCCCGCTCGCCTGCGCCGCACAGACCGCCGGCATTGGCTGATCGTCGCTGGCGGCGCCGATGGCCTGGCTGGAAGTGCCCTCCTCGGACATGGCGATGGAGATGGCGTGAACTCGGCGAAGGCGGCGATCGGAGGGAGGCGGAGCGGCCCTGCAATCGAGGAGGGGGGGCCGCACCGCGAGGGGTGGGTGGGGCTGAAAAAGGCCGCCGGGTTCGCGAGAACCCGGCTCCGAAACCAAATGTTGCGCGGCAGCGCGCAACAGGGGGTGAGAGAGCGTGCCGGTGCGGGCGTTTGAAGGCCATTAAGCTGGGACCCAGCACCGGACCCCAAGTACTACGTACTTGGGGCCACACCCGAGCGCCGGTACCTGGGGGTACCCCAGGTACCGGTGGCCACCGCCCTAGTGCCGGTCTAAGCACTCTAACCCCTACACTATCATAACCGTAGCCCTCTTGGGCCGGTTACTGTAGGGGAGTTGTCGATACCCCCGGGTACCGGTTAGTGCGGTACACACATAATTTTGATGTGAAGAAGGTTGCCGTATGTCTCTTCGCAACTGTTTCTACTTGGATCGACCTGTGTTTTTGGCTCATTAGATGATCTATGGATGCTAACAGCCTTTTCAAATGTCCTTTTCTGTTCAACATCAACAGATTCGGAAGGCCCAATCTTGCATATTTCTTTCGTGAATGTATGGCGATGGATGGTGGATACAGATGTGTCGAAGAAGCGTCGATACTGTTCGACCTTACGCTATGGGATATTTCCCATATATGATGTCGCACGATGTGCAGTTAAGCTGTAATCGCAATGTGATGACATTCTGCGAATGGGTAGGTGCTGCCTGTATCCATTTTTGCCCCACCCGCTGTCTCAGCACGATTCAACACGAGCAATTCCCCGGCACTGTCCACTCTCTTCCTTATACCGCGCTGCTTGGGCTTGATCCACGAGCAACGGGTCTACCATCAAGGGCGAAAGCGCCTTAAGCTGCCACAGAAACAAGGAAGGGGGCCAAGGCGGCATACTAGTAGTAGGCGCGCTGCAAAACATGGTGTTTGATGCGGCCACTGCCCTTGGCAGAAAGTCCCCTTTTTTCATTCATCTTTACGTTTGATCGAGCCAGTAGCATGACAAAGCAAGGTCCGTTGAGTTTCTGATATTGCGCACGTGGACAATGTCCACAGGGGTATTACCTTTTGCAATATGTGGTTTGCGAGCCATGGCACCAAGGACCATCCGGGCATATTCATGTCTAAAATAATGTTACTGGCCATTTCGTAGCAATTCTTCAGTGAGCGATGTTTGAGTGAACATTTTGTATTTTACGTAATTATCTGCGCTGAAAGCGAGATTTTGTGTACCAATGTGGCCAAATGGCACAGCAACTGAAGGCTCCATTCCAGAATGTAGCACACAAAATTGTTGTCATGCTTTGTGAGCAAATTGCGACAATGGGCAGAAGGTCACCAGTTGGACGGCCAATGTAGGATTGACATGGAAGCAATGCAGGCCGTCGAGCAACACTGCGGTCGATTGGCATCCTCTGTGCCCCCGGGCACAAGGCGATGATCGTATTGTGAGGGGAGTGGAGATTGCGGTCTTGCACCAATTCACCCAGCGCCACACAAGATTAAATGACATCGCCAGCTTGGTGGCAGGGCTTGCTTTGCCATGTTTTTGGCAAATGTAATCGCAACGGATTTCCACAAGATTGAATCCATCATCTGAACGGCTGACGAACTTAAAATGAGGTCCGAGTTTCCGTGCAAGTCGCTAGGTACTCCAGCTGCATCGGACTTGCTTGCAATTGCGGCAGCCCTTTTCGTCGCGCCTTGCCTTCGTCGAGGAGCGTCCTCACGTCGATTACATGTCTGTCTTCACAGGCGGAGGTCAGCAGTTCTGGCGCTGTTCTAGGGCATCAGAGATCGGAGAGGTCCACGCATGGGGGCGCTCTGTTGGGCTTGTTCACAAACTGGATGGTTCTTGTGCGCAGATGAAGTCAATGCGATAGTGATTGACGTCGGGTCAGGGAGCACGCGTGTGGGTTATGCGGGAGACGACACGCCTAAGGCAGTGTACCCCTCCGTGAGTGGCAAAGCATTCGCATCTCTGGAATGGCGCCTTTCTCTCAATGAATTGTGATGTTTGTGACTGGCGACAGCCAACTTCCCTGTGTCACTTGTGTAACTTGCCGCCCGCGACCATGGTAATTTGTTGTGTCTGCTCTGTTGATTGCCTTACTTGGAGCATCAACGCTGCAGTTTGTTGCGTCTCCATCCCGTGCAGCTAGACCCCAAATGTTCCACAGCCTCCAGACATCACGATGGAAAGGCCCCAGTATTGTCCATATAACCTCATGATATATTAGGAAAAGAGGAAAAGATGCGTTTACATGGCCTATTGTGCAGTGCGTGGGGAGTGTTATCGTCAATGGCCAGGACGGGGACAGCATCAACAATGGAGAGACAGAGAAGAAGACTTTCGTGGGTCTGTCAGCCCTTGGTTACAGAAGAGATGGCATGGAGGTGTGTGTGCATCAATCCTGGCTATTCATATCCTGGGTGTACAATTCTGAAATTTGACGGTGTGCTGCCCTTGCACTTTCAAAGGGAAGACGAGCATTCTTCCATCCACACTGTTGCTCATGCCTGCCATGGAGGTGTGGGTCCCACCTTGTGGAGCAAGGGCCCACAGCTGTAAGAAGTTATACATGACACAAAGTTCTTGTTTCATTTTGTTTAAAGTATATTTGTCAAAAATCACCGCCCTTGCACCACATAAAGATGGTTGATTTGTCTGCAGGTGTATTTGTTTATGCCCAGATAAATCACGTTAACCTGACTGAACCAGCCAGCACAAAGCATTGATGGCTGGCAAATGTGCACTGTTCATGCCTGAAGCTGGCATCCTTGCACTGTGAAATGATTCAGATAGGCTGGCTGCCAGGTGACATTGGCTGCTGAGGTCAAGTACAATTGTGGATTCTGTGACTGCAACCAACTGCCAGTTGTCATTTGTCAACATCATCTGGCATTGTTTTGACGTACTCAAAGTTTTGTATTGCAGATATTGGCACCTGTTTCACGTGAAGGCTACTATGAGCAATGGGACCTCATAGAAGCCCTGTGGGATCATGCTTTCAGGTGATTGTACAAAGAGAAAACAGACAGAAAATAACAGAATGGACGTGTATTTCCAGTCTAATGCTCTGTCCAATAATTGTCCTTGGCATGCTGTGGGCCCAGCAGGAAGCACAAGGTTTGTGTGTCAGGAAGAGAACAACACATGGCATAAACGGGTGGATCCAGCTATAGTTGCTTTATTAGGCTCATGTTCAACATGCAGGCTGCAAAAGGAACGGTCTTCAATAGGTGCATGAAAAGAATGCAAGTATTTTCACAAGGTATGCAGCCAACAGGATGGAGTTTCTATGGCAAAGCACATCTGGTGTGTGCTGAATAGAGTTTATGCGGATTTCGATTACCCAGTATCAATACCCAGTACTTTCTCTGGGTGTCCCAACCACTTTAATGTCTGCAACCCGGTGTTTGTAGCCATACAAAACTCTCGTCAGGGGTGTCATTGGATTCATCACAAAACGAGCAAGTCAGTTCAACAATCTGGTTGTGGTATACCCTCTGCTGCATGCATTTGTAGCATAAAGCAACTGGGCTATAGTGCGAAAGTGATGCGCACCTGTTGCCTGCATGCATCGCAAATTCTCCCAATCCTGCTCAATGGGGAAGAGGCTGTTCAGTTGTCAAGCAGCCACTGGCTGGTTACAAGTGCTTGAGGGAAGGCAGAAACATTAGTGATGTACGAATCAAATGCGGACCAAATGCATGGGACAAGATGGAGGGTATCTCCAGGAGGAAGGGTGGGACTCAGGGAGCAGGTCATCACTGTATTCACAATACAAGGATGGGGATGTGAGCTGAAAGGCAAGGTGCCACAGCTGCACTTGGGGAAGATCGCTGGTACTGGCTTTTGCAGCCCTGCTTGCTGCAGTTGTGCAGGCACGCAGGTGTTGCTGTGCATTTTGTGGCTATCTGCAGCAAATTTTTGCTGTTGCCTGGCCACAATGTTCAATATTTATCGATTTACCCCTTGGATCAAGGGTAAAATCCATGCTAATGTTCATGGACCTGTGTGAGCATCCATCGTTTCACTTTGTTTCATGATCCTGTATATGGATGCTACTTCTGGATGATTGCAGTGCGGCCCAAAATGTCCATCGATGAATATCATCAGCTGCTACCTTGAAGGTGCAAGGAAGTTTTGTTATCATGACAAGGAAATCTGGGAAACACAACGTAAACTTTGCATATGCAGCTGTTCAGCAGCCACTTATCCCTTTCTAGCACATCTTCATTGGTTGCTGCTGCCTTTGCCTGCTTTTCTAGAGAATGGAAGCCATTGCAGTTGCATAGCCATTCCTGGTGCTCAATTATCCCAAAGGCAGTTGCAGTTACCCTGGCGAACTGGGTCGTTGCTTTCTGTGTGCTGAATAGGGAGCGACTGCGGTTGAACCCTGAGGAGCATCCCATGCTGGTCTGCGAGCCCACAGTCACACCCACCAACTTAAGAGAAAAACTGGTGGAGCTGGTGTTTGAGAAGTACTCGCCACCGGCAACATTCCTGGCCAGAAATGCTGTACTGAGCTCCTTTGCAACAGGGAGGCAAACTTCGGTAGTTGTCGATAGTGGGCACCAAGGGACAACAGGTGACTGGCGTTGGACATGGATAGTGCGGCATTCCCCCCCTGTTTGCTGATGATTGAACAGTGCAATTAATGTATTGGGCCCAAGATAATTAGTCATTTTGTGTAGATCCCTGGCTGTTTGTTCAAGAAGGCCAAAGCAATCCCCTTGCACCTTGAAGGCGATGATGGCCACAGCTCCTGACAAGCAGCCATGGCTGCTTGTGCTGGTGGAGAAACCAGGATCTGCAGACAATTGTCTGCCTGACCTTATTTGGCCTGACTATCAATGCAGTTTTGTAGTGATGATTGGGAACCTCACGGGGACTGATAGTTTCACCATTCTGCGATGTTGAGTTTGGCTGTTTCAAGCAATCCAGTTATGTGGCTTTGCGAATCCTGGAGAATGCTGGGTAGCAGGTTTATGTTTGGCACAACCTTATGTCAGCAGCAGTGGTGGGCTAGAGCTGTAGTGACACTTTCAGTACTGGACACTAACACATGAGTGAGCACAGTTGTGCACCCAAATTTCGAAGCCATGTTTTCGAGGACAATTGCAGGTGCACATATCGATTTGTGCATTCTACAGGGCAGGATTGTGTCCATTGTTGGAACGTGTGGTGACAGGGGTGGTGTTGTACCTCAAAGGCCGATGGAGAAATGTGCTTTTGATTGGGCAGTAGGTGATGTTGCCCCATGACTGACATGTTAGCATTCTTTTGCAAATGGCAGTTGCTGCCATCCACGAAGGATATGCACTCTTAAAGAGCATCACGTGGACTCCGTTGGGGGGCAAGCTGCTCACAGAGTGCATGCTCCAGTGCGTGGATCCAGATAGAAGTTTGATCAGGCCCCGTTACTCCTTCAAGCGAGTGGAGACTTCGCAAGGACAATTTGAGGCAGGTGATGGGGGGGGTTGCCAGTTCCTGAAATCGGACAATGTGCACAACACTTGGTCCAGTTATGCTGAGTACTTATTTCCAGTGGTGCCATCAGTTTTCTAGATTGTCACTGCGTTCTATCTTCATTAGTGTGGTATGGAGACCTGATGCTCTCAGCGCTGAACCTGAACTGCTGTCCGATTAACAGCGGATGGGTCACAGACAGTAATTACTGGGTCAGAGCCAGGTCATGTCTATTTTCATGTTCTCCTGACTCGTCCTATTTTCGGTTCGCTGCCTGTGCTTGATGCAATTCAGTATGCAATGCAGGTAGGAATAGAAATTCAGGAGACACAAAGAAACAGTTTGTTGTCTTCATTGCCCACAGACAACATTTTGTCCAGTGCTTACTGCAATCGTGGAATTTCCATGTTGCACACACACACACACACAACTGTGATAATTGCTGCCGTGATGAAGTACACTGACTGTAGCACATATGCTTTGTGGGGCACTAGCAGACAAACGAGCTGTGGTCTAGTGTCAATCCTGGCCAAACAGCTGACTGAAGGGTGGCCTGCACAAACTTGATGTGTTTGTACTGGACAATGGATGTTGCTGTCATAGGCACAAGACATTAGTGAACATCCATTTCCAGCTTCTGTGCTACTTCTTCCACCCCATATTAAATGTCCTCTCTGACTTTGGTGCACTACTGCCCCATCGCAAGTAATTTATAATTCAACGAAATTTTGTCCATAGCTGTTTTTATGAGTTTGAAGTATGTGTTGAAAAATTCAAGCCAATCCATTGAGAACTGCGGATTTGGCATCACTTTGTAGCAAGGATGCACACCCCAAAACTACTCATTTTTCAACAATCTTGCGGAAGCAACCGTCCACAGTAAAACTATATTCCTTAATGAAATTTCGCTCACAGCTGTGCTTATGAGTTTGGAGTATGCTGTTCAAAAATCAAAAATCAAATCAATCAGTTAAGAATTGCGGATTTGGAATCAATCTGCAGCAAGCATCTTTTATATGTGAACCTCGAGTTGTTGCTCAGAAATGACCAAAATTTACCTTTTTTCAATGCTCAAAGTGACCGGGGCTCACTTTTTGTTCTTGAAAATTGGAAGTTTTAAGCGTTTTGAGACACAATTTTGTCAATTATGACCGCCTTTTGTAATTTCAAGGGAGCTTTTGTAACGAATTTTGTCTTTCAAATAGAGGACATTTAATATGGGACAGAGGAAGTTATCTGCATGGCCATTCTCCTAACCAAGCAGAGAATGTGTTGATCACAATTGTGGTTGGCACCCAGTCACTTCAGTGCTTTGAGGAACCCTGATTATAGAAGGCTACACAGCTGGTCTTGATCGCATGTCCCAGAATTGGTGATCACATGCTGCAGGTTGTGGATCGGAATTTCCCCAAAACCACTCAGAGCTACCGAAAGTATTGCATCGATCAAATCGCTACAGACATCAAGGAGTCAGTCTGCCGCGTGTCAGATTCTACTTTTGTTGAAGGCGACAACACCAACATTCCAACAGTAACATATGAGGTATGTTCTCTTGTCTGCTGTTTTCTGAATCTAGCTTTCACAACTCTTTGAACTTCATACCTGAAGTGCCTGCCCCATGTAATAGGCAGGAACAGGAGGTCATGATTTCTTTGCACGATTTGATTGTATATGACGTTTTTTTGCGTTGGCTTGTTTTCGGAACATGAGTCTTTTGGCTGATGTATTTCTGGAGTGGTAAACTAGCTAGTGATACCACAGAGGACATGATATTCTTCCTGAGATGTGTGGGATGGAATATTGTTCTCTGGAAATGGCCCCTGTGTTTATTTGGTGTTCTCCTAAAACCTTGCTGTGGTACGGCACCACAGCTAAATCAGTCCAGGGCATGAGGGGCAAGCTGTAACCTGCTTCTGCTTGTAGTCACCTAATTAACAAACTACATTGTTGAATTCGGTGTTTATTTATTTATCTCACAGATAAGTGCACCCCTTGAATTCACATAGTGTTGATGGACACCTTTGATACCCGTATCGTCTGTTCGCAAAAAGGTGTATGAAAGGGTAACCCAGTCCATTGTACAGCATTACATTGTTGAATCTCCTATCGGAATTGTGAATGACATGTCAACCTTGCTGTGCAGCTCCCAGACGGGCAGGAAATCCAAGTCGGTCTGCACCGATTCAAGGTTCCAGAGGTTCTCTTTCAGCCAGTAAGTGGGGAATCATGGGGATATATGGCCACAGAGCTCAGGCTTTGCCTTGCGGACATGTCTATTTTGCATATCCTGAGTTCAGAATGGGTGGATAAAATGGAACTCAACGACGTGCGAATAGTTTACTTCGGTTCAGGATGGACATCACGGGCTGGAAATAGAGAGTACCTTTGGAAGGCAATTTTCAAACTGCAAGGAATTCCCATTATTGGCTTGCCAGTGTAAGAGTAATATTCTATCAACGTTGGCAGATGCTCAGGAGCTAGAACTGTGCATGCTGTTGCCTGAATACCCTGTGAATATCATTGCTTACGCTCCAAGGAGCATTGTGTCGCGGTGGTCTGCCAAAGAAAGCAATGCAAAAGCAATCTGGCTTGAGGTTGTACTTGTGCCTTTGTCGCTTATCGTTTGTTGCAGGGAGATGATGTCATCAAAGCAAAACGAAGTTGGTGTCATCAAAACGACGAATTGACTTGTTTTCTGTGTTTTCTGAAGTGACTTCTGTGTCAATTGGTAGTTGCTTCTGACTTTGGAACAGCGTCTAATGTATTGTGGCATTGTGGCTCCTTAGCATAATGTGGCATGGCACAGGAGCTGATCAAGACGTTTGGTGGAATGCCTGATGTCTGCCTTCCAGATGGCTCTGAATTGTCCAATCTGCCAAGTGTCGTGGCAGAATGCATCAACAAATGCGATGTAGACATTCGCAGGGAGCTCTACACTGGAATCATATTGACAGGTGGTGCTGATTAATGAATACTGGCATAGAGTGTTGTGAGAGACTCCAAGGTGTTTGTTGATTTTTCTGTTTCTGTTCTATCCATATCCCTGGTAGACAGCACAAAGCCCATGGACCCGATGCTGAGCTTTCCGGGGCCACGTTAGATTACGCTTCCAGGGCCATTTTGCCCAACATTACCCAGATCATGTGAGAACAGTGATTTGTGACTCTCTGGCAGTAAGTGAAAGAAAATCTCGTCTTCCTCTATTTGACAGTGCAGACATTTGGTTTTGTACTGGTGCTGTGTTCCAAGGTACTTATGATATTTGCAACACAGATCTGCATGGTAGCACACACATAAAACATGTTGTCCTGCGTTTCAGAGCACATGTGTTCTTGTTCTTAGCTCTGTCCATTATTGCTGCCATTCCGAATGTACCTGCAGATTTCCGAAGCACGTGTACCGTATAGAAAACCCCTTGAATAATGTCATTCAGTGGGTGGGGAAGGCATGGTGCATGCAAGGGTTTTAAATATCTGCAATTGGTGTGCATGCAGGTGGTACCTCTCTCTTTTCCCAAATGCGTGAGCGCCTAGAGAAGGAGCTCATTGACATAGCCCCACAGGCCGTGAGAGTGAAGACCATTTCTCCAGTGAACACAATAGAAAGACGGTTCAGCGTGTGGATAGGTAGGGGATGGTAATATTTTGTTCGAGGCTTGCACAGAGCATCTTTTTTCAGTTCGATTGCCCCATATGTACATAGCAGACATACCTCCTTGAAGACAATTATGGGCACTTTTGGTGTGCACATTGGCTGCTCTCAGATGTGCACGGATGACATATACAACCTCCACACAACTAATTGCTGGACGGCAGGTGAAAGAACCAAAACTGGTCAGGAGTGCCATGTCCGGTTCTTTGGTTGTCAGCGCAGCATTGGGCGCCTTTGAAAGGTGCATCCAATGCGCAGGCTTGTGATGAATCTCTTCAGGCACGCAATTCTCAATCTCGAAAATGGGCGGTTCGTGGCCTCCGGGCGGCCCGTTGGCGGCTCGTGCCCGCAGAGGACAGTGAACGGCATGGAATTGTCTACAGGGGGAGCATAATATGTTTGATGGCTTGTCTGTGTCTCTGTCCACCTGTCAACCTTGTCCTGCCCATTTGTCAACGATGGCAAATCACAGGTGTCCACAACGTGATTAAGGGCACTGTTGAGATCCTCGACGGTTTGACCCCAACTGCTCATGCAATCCCGTGGGGATTTTGTGGACGAAGTGCACCAGGTGACCGTTTCCCCTGAGCATTCTGACAAATTTCTGAGTTGCTGTTCGTACCTGCAGGTGGTTCTATCCTTGCGTCTTTAGGTTCCTTCCAGCAAATGTGGATGTCGAAAATGGAATATGAGGAGCACGGGGCAAGTTTGATCCACAGGAGAGCTCCGTGAACGGTCCAGACGCTTGGGACGCTTTCCGAAGTTGGGGAGGCGTAGCAGGGATACGCATATAGATGTTAATGGTAGAAGACAAAGTTCCTACTTGACTAGCAGCAAATGAAATTCTTCATGTTTGTAAGAGCGGAAACGGCGTTGATATGTGAAACGGATCTTGTGCCGCAGCAGCACTGTTGTCCAGTCGTTTTGCCGGATGGTATATGTCTAATTGTTACTTACTGCCTGGTACTGTTGGTGACAACGAGGGAGAAGAACGAATACTGCCAATCAGCCATTGCATGAAGCAGCTAACCTGCCGATAGTAGTATGGTCAGGGCTTGACTGCCGCTAAGCCAACCCACGTTGGCTATTTCGCGCAAGCGAAACACTGTCAGTGAACAGAAATTTCAAGAAGCCATGGTTTGAGCAGTTGCTTGGCTTCGATCGACAGTAATTCACAAATTATCCGAGGATGCCAAAACAGAGAAGCCTGTCTCTGTCCGTTGTAAACACCCGACACGCGCCGTTAAAGGTATGTAGGAAGCAATGTCTTGGACAATGAGCCAGCCTCACCACTAGTTGTCAATGCTGTGGCACTGTGATGGCAAAAACATCAAACTGCTGTTGGCTGCTGCAACCTGAGGTCCTGAAATGGAAGAGATTGCGAAGTTCGTCTTCAGGTGCAAATTGACACGATCAAGGGCACTGTTGGGTAAACATTCGTGCCAGCAGAGGTGAGCCGATTTGTAAGTGTTCATCCGCCACGAAACGAGCTCCGCATTCACAGTACAGAAGAATTGCCCTGAGTTCCTTTCGTGAAACGCTGCTTGCTCGTTGCGCTGCCATTTTGCTAATGGCCCGTGAATGCGGCTCCCACACTGACTTCCTATATGGTCCACAACCCGTGCCCAGGAGTCGCTTTTGGATATATGTTTTAATGCCCACCTGAGACCATGCTGCACAGTATCTGAACCAATAGATTCAATAGCTGCGGCCCTTCACTGCATGTCTACGGAGTTCACTCTGCCAAAAGCTAGCCACCTTGAATGTGAGCTGCATGCATGACATTGCAGCCCAAACGCATCGATGTCGATAGGACTGCCGAGCACCTGTAAAACTTTCCCATTTAGAGTTCAAGAATTCTGTCCTTAAATTAAAAAGCAATATGTTATGGAGGCATAAATGTAGCCGTCAGCTGACTTGCTCACCACAGGAAAGCAGTGTCGACGGTATTCAGCGAAAAGCCAGGTATAGGCAAGCTTCCTTGGGTGGGTGAGAATTTTCATGCAAGTTGAACTTGAACATTCAATCTTGAAATTCCTATTGCCCGAGATTGTTTGCTCCCTGGTGATGAGTTCCATCGAAGCTCCACAGCTGTGATAATCATTTTAAATGCATCTGACAAGACAAAGTGGCGCCCTTGCACGTTGCACGCGATGGCGGGGATGCATACAGCAAGCATGTTTCATGGCCCGCACTCTTTCATTTCATCTCACGCCATCCGTGTAGTCAGATATTGCTAAGGCGCCGAGCAGGTCAGCTTTGGCGAAAGAGCAGAGCATGAACGCCCGTGCGATCAACTCAGTTCTCCAGTGGAACCCACCCCAGCACAGCGTCCGCCACAATGTCGTCAGCCGTGTTGCCATGGCAATCGAACCCGGTGTCTGGAACGGGGTCCATCCACGAGGCTGCAGATCTGGGCGACATAAGGAAATTGGAAGAGTTCATTCAAAGGGGGCTGGACAACGGCTACCCGGACCGGGTCAGCCTTCAGGTGCGGGATGAGCTGCTGGGAGCCATGCCGCTTCACTTTGCCGCGGAGCGCGGACATCTCAACGTGGTGGAGTTTCTCGTCCAGCATCAGGCGAGTCAAACGTAAACCAGTGAGCACTTCGACTGAAAGCGCATCTTTTCCGCTCTGTAAACTCGATACAATCTTTCTGAGGTATTGAAAAATTACATCATTTGCTTGCGCCTCCGCTTGCAACGCCTCTTGCTCGGACTCTTCCAGCGATGCTGCCATTCTGACGTGCCATTCTCGCGCAAGTTTGGAGGCCATTGAATTAGGAAACCGTTGAAATTCCAACATGTTACTGCTGCAAATTACTGGATTGAACAGCTCACGGACACTTCATTCTTCAGCCGAACTGGGGCACGACAGCCACCTTTGAACATAATGGGTGCCTAATTTTCGCGCACATCTCATGCAATCACGGCGCAGGTGGACATCGATGCCGGAGACAACAACCGCGTGACGGCCTTGCACCTGGCCAGCATAACCAACAGTGTACGCGTGGTTGACTTTCTCATCCAAAACGGCGCCAAAGTGGCACTCCCGGACTGCACTGGGGACACCCCCTTGCACTGGGCGGCCACGCGCGGACACCCCCAGACAGCAGAGATACTCGTACAGCACAAGGCCCCCGTGGACCCGTCCAACCACCAAGGCTGGACCCCGCTCCACAGGGCTGCTTTCAACGGCCGCACGTCCACCTGCGAGTTCCTCCTCAAAAGGGGGGCCAGCCTGCAGGCCGTTAACGTTGACGGCAACACCGCCCTGCACGTGGCCTGCGCCTCCAACCGCATGACGACGGCGGAGTATCTGCTGACGTGGGACACGCCCCTGGACATACGCAATGCTGAGGGCCGCACGCCGGCGGACATGGTGAGCGAGAAATTCGCAGAGGCCATGGCGGAGATCGTGGCCACGCACCAGAGGGAGAAAAAACGCCCCAGGGCGTACCTGGCAAAGCAGGCCATCAAGAGGATGCAGACAAGGACGAGCGTGGCCCCGTCGAGGCCGGATTCGGGAGTGGGTCGCGCATCCCCGGGTGCCCGGGCGGGTGTGAGGATGCCATCTTCACCTGAGGCGCGACGGCCCTCTTTGCCGCACAGGGCGCTCAGGGAACGCGACGCACTGGGCTTTCCGCTGGTGGCGGAGGAGACGCCCAGCCTGCCTCCCCCGACGCCCGAATTCGGTGAGCTGGAGCTGGTGTCGTACATTGAGGCGTCCAGGAGGACCCCGCTCTCCCCCAGGAGCGGCTCGTCAGGGTCAGGTCCTGCACAGGGCCTCGTGGGCACGGACCGGCAGGAAGACGTCGACCTGCTGTCGTCGAGCTCCGTCGTCAAGACGACCACAGGTGCTGGGGGCGTGGGCGGGCGCCTGGGGGGCGAGCTGAAAGCCGTGGACGACGATCTGATGTCGCCTTGGGACAGCGATGACGACGACAAGGAGCGAGGCGACGGCCGTGATGACGTGGGGCATGCCAAGTCGGGCGTCGTCAGGGGAGATGATTTGTTGGGAGGAGTAAAGAGGCGGTCTTCTTTCAACGTCAAGTTCCTGGAGAAATACAACCTGCAGAAGCACACCCTGTTCGCGCCCTGAGTTTACGATCTTGAGACGGCCATCCAATAAGATTGCAGGGACGCGTGCGTGCATGGCCCAAGACCATTTCTCCCTGTCAATCAGATTTTAGCTTGAGGGCATGCGTCTCTCACACTGTGCACCACCGGCTGCAGTAGCTATGGCACAGTACTGCTCCAAGAGCAACTGATTTGCAGGAAAGGCCACTTCTGCGGCGTGTATGAAAGGCTATCCCCAGGGCGTAGATGTCCTGGGGTCAGCATCTTGCTGGATATTGTTCTGGTATCGTTGCGCTGTTTAGATGCGCATTTTCAGCGTCGCCGTAGTCCCCCTGTAGCCGATCTTTCAGACGGGAGAGGGTAGTCCGCCCACTAGGGTCACTACACCACCTTCTCAGGGTCTTGAGAGGGTCCGAATTCCGGGCCATACAGCCCAAGCATGTGTCATACGGTTCCTTCGTTTCTGACACCCCAGGAATGTGAGCAGTGGACATTGAGTTACATACATGTACATGAACTTGCAGAAAGAAAAATCTACAAACGCTCGATGTGCTTCTCCCAACTACCACAGATTTCCATATCACCGAATTGCGCATCCTTTCGAAAATGACCTGCCTCTATAGTTTACCCACTCAACAGGTGCCACGCACCCCACTCCCGCCATCCCCATGCTTATGTACACTACCACAGGTGCGCGAAATGTGAACCCAAACAGCAGCACATTATTAGATATCCCATTGAATAATGGCAACCTATTCATTGCATGCTGGGATCCTCACTGCCCTGTAGAGCCCGTTTCAGACGCTCATCCAGCTCTCGCATTCTTTCCACCCAGTCTTGATCCGCTGAACGCGCGCCTGCCACAATCGCAGCATCTGCCTGGGCAGCAGCGGACCTGACCAGCACATCTCCCTCCATGATGGCCCTTTGAATCGTGGCATCCACACTGTCCCTCCCGGTGCTGGTGCTGCTGCTACCAGATGGCCCCTCAAACGACGAACCAGCTGCAGTCTCCCCACTCTTGTCTGGGACAGTCACAAGCGCAAGTGACCCATCTGGATTCTCCACGGCAATCGTCTTTGAAGCCGAATAGTCTTTGGAACGAATTTCTATCTGGTTGACCTCCATGCTCTGCCAGGCCAATTCTGGCAGCTCAACCTCTGACGCTTCTGAATTCGAGGAGTCTTCCATGGGCTGTTCCCCAGCATCTGACACGTCGGTCAACCTCTCACTGTCCACAATCGATCCTTCCTCGAGTTCAGGATCAGCGGCCCTCGTGTTGCCAGTGTGCTCCCCAGTGCGTTCATCCATCTGCTGCTGCTGTTGCTGGTATGCATCCGACTCTGTCACTGGCCCTTGGTGTGCATCCATGTCATGCCTCACAAACACCATCCCTATGTGGAGATTTCTAAAGTCCTGATTAATGTCACCAGTGAGCGACAGTGCAGAAATAAGGCTTTGCCACACATTCCCTGATTCCTGGTCCCTGCTGTCATCACCTGCATGGAGGCCTCTCCCAGCCGAATAAGAGGACAGCCAGGCAAATCGTCGCTGATTCAGACCTGCCTCGCCTGTGCTCTCATTCTCAGCAGCATCCTGGGTCTCCTCCCGTACCCCACCATCGGCCACACCCTCACCCCCCTCCCCTCTCGCTCGGTCCCCCGCATGGCTACAGGACAGCCCCACAGGCATGAGCTGTCCTGTTCGATTCCCACAGTTTGATACGCACATGCCGCTTTCACAGGAGGCTTCAGACTCACTGAGCCGACTGGGTAGAGACAGCTGGCGGTGCATGCGCCCAGTGGCACCCAGGCCACGACCATGGAAATTGTTCGGATGGTCACCCAAGGCATCGCTCTGGCCCAAAGGGCAAGCATTTCCAGACATGTCCGAGGTGGATGCAGATGCCACCACTCTGCCGTGCGGTTCCCCTTCTGCTCCCTGTGCTGCTTCAGTCCCTCTGGAGATGTGAGGCGAGCTGTCAGGACCTGCCTCGCTACTGACTCTCTCCCAGCCAACTGAGGTGCCAGTTGAGCCCCTTGGCATGGATACAAGCTCCCAGTTGGGGTCCGTGGCTTCACTGTCCAGGCTCCTGATCTCGGCAGGATCCTCAGGCAAGGTCCTCCCATCAGGGCCTGGCTCAGGGAGGCTCTGTGCCTCGGCGATCTCATTGTGTTGGGTGGCTTGGTTGCGTTGGTTGGTCTGCCTGTTCTCCAGCATGGAGTTTATAAGGGCCTGTTCAAGCTGCAGGAGGAAGCAATTGAACAGTGAGGAGCTGCACAAAGAGCAAGCAATAGCTGCCAAGACATGGGTATTGCAGTTCAGCGCATCCGAAGGCCAACAACTTCCAACTGCACTTCAGAATGTGATGTGCTCACAGCTCATCTTGGAGGAGTGCCTCAGTTGCCAAAATCCTGTGCATCGATATCCTTTGAGCACCAAAGCGACTGTATCAATGCCCACGGATACTAGTTCCACTGTTCTTGTAACATGTGGAAGGCAACATTTTGTTCTTTTGTTCTTGAGAGACATATACGATACTGTTTGATTGGAGGGCGTATTAACTTAGCAGGTGCAGGGATAAAGCTCATATGAGATATACGTGAGGCATTGAGATATTCAAATGTCTACCAAGAGATATCTGCAATGCTGCCTGCCTCCGCATAAGGCTCACCAGCAGTTCATTGAAGTCGTCCACCCTCATCCCCAGGTCTTCAGGGAACACACCCAAGTACTCGGTGCACTGCAGCATGTCATGGATAGACTGCAAAATGGTCAGCCGTCAATATGGGTTCAGAGGAAAGATGTGTCATAACAAAGGCCACATTCGCGACAGAAACTGGTATCATTATCGAGAAGCACTTCTGTTCAGCAGCAGCCACTGTGCTGTTCAACATATCAGTCCACAATGAATCAAAAATAAAACAAAATGATGGACATGCAGCAGCACATGTGGATGGACATGCAGCAGCACATGTGGATGGACATGAAGCAGCATACTTTCAGAAATAGGCTTAAATGGCCAGGGCAATCTCCATGGCAAACAGAGGCGGCCTAGCCTACTGCAGGTCTTCACATAAAACCACTTCAGTCTTGATTCCTGCTTATGTCAGCAGAATCTATGCCAATATTCTGTTGAAGGGACAGTCAAGACTGTCAAAATGGTGCTGCGCTTAGGCGGGCACTGATGTCCTGCATTCTGCATACTCTAATCAACGGCTTGTGCACTTGGCCGAGTTCCTGATCCCACCCACACCCCAGACAAAAGAACACTTGTGCATTGCACACACCAAGCCATGTCCATGTGCAGCAGACACTGCTCGTCTGTGATTTGATGGCTGGACAGCTCCTGCACCCTGAAGATGCTCCAACGTTGCAGCCATGCTGTCCACTGTGGACTGCGCAATAGTGGTCTGTTCTGGCACATCTGCAGCATCCAGAACAGTGACCTCATCAACCCTGGGTGGATCTTGTGTAGCTTCCTCGGCCGGCCTGGCTGTGTTGTCTTCTCTAGGAACAATCTCCGGCACGTCAGGGACCATGCCAGCCAGGTTTTGATTCAAGGGTGTCTGCAGCACAGTGAAGCTGAGGTCATCTTTTCCACCACTTGCACATTCTGATGGCATTTGGCAAGAGTGCGTGCGGCAATTCTCATGTCACATCTGTGCCAAAGGAAGGAACAACCTACTGCATATTGCATCCTTACTGGCGTGCGTGTTTTCCACAGCACAGATACACAGCAAGCAGAATGCATGGCACGTGAGTTGCATGCTTGTGCAGATGAAGAGCAAAGTACACATAGCATCTACAAACTGGACATCAGGATGGATCCCAAAGGAAGCTGATCTGTGAGAACCAGATACACACATTGGCGAACAATATGGCACATTGAAGGCGTGATGCCCTGCAGTAAAAAACAACGGGCACCCTCAATGCTAACCTTGCCATTTGCAGAAACGTTAGCATACATTTTCTCTATCAAATGAGTCAACCACCAGGCAAAGCGATTTCATGTCCTGAACTAACACGCCTACAAATTGTCCCATATCCATTGGCATGTCTTCTCCACAACAGTTCAGCAGTTTCAACGGCACAGCGTTCGCAGTGCCATTTGGCTTGGCAAGAGCACTTTGTCTTCATTGGAAACCTCAGAGCAGCAATTCATGCTTTGATATGCACCATACACGACCCCAAACAAGGCAGCCAAGAAAACAAAGCGTTTTGTTGCCATTCTTTCTGCAGTGCATGACCACGCCCACCTTGCTTCCACTGTTCTAAAATACAATTGCCTCAACTTCAATAGTTTGCAAAAAGAGCTTTGGGCCGCTGCAGGGATGTTCGCACTGTACACTATGCTTTCCTTCCTCTACAAAGCCATCACTTCCGATGCACTCCCGCCCTCGTTGTTCTGTCGATTTGTTCGCTAAAGTACAATGAAGCAAAGCTGCGTGTCCCACAGACATACCTCCCTCTCCTTGATGCGGTGCTCCAACACACGCTGCTCGTCCATCCGCTCCTGCTGCTTCTCACGATCGGACTTCGGTCCACAGACCTGCGTAAGACCAGCACACAGCTGTGAGACCAGCACTGGACAATGCACCCCCACAAGGGGCAACACTTCGATGCCCAAAAGCACCAGCGCCCAAGGAGGAGACAGGTGCGCACCGAGCGCAGCTTCCACCACCAATAACCAGAAATGCAATCGCAACCGCATAGCCCTTTGCGGCTGGTGCTTCTTCGCGCGGCTTGCGGGCAAGCGCGCGTCCTGCCCATGCAGCGCAAGGGCAGCATGTCACAGCATCGGGGCGGCCATCGTCTCGCTCACCTCCACGTTGAAATCGTTGGCCTTGCAGAAGGGGCACAGCGATCCAAGGTACGTCCCGGTGGCCGTCTTTATCTGCGAGGCACAGTCTGTCAGGTCCAAGAAGCGCTGGAGTGCCCGTTGCAGGGGGTGGAAGAGGCCGAGAGCCCACGGTGCTGTAGAGCGGTGCAAGGCCGAATGTGGCCCCCCGGGGCGTGCAGCACCCACCTGGACGAAGCACTCCGAGCATATGCGCTGGCCGCAGCACCTGGAGCGATTGACGTGCTTGTGGTACAGGAAGCAGATTGGGCATTCATCGACCTGGGAACGAGGCAGAAAATGAAGCGGGTTAGCACACGCAGTCCCCACACACGGAATGCACCCGCTTCCGCAATCAGCCAGGCCCCAGTGAAACGGCGGCACCATCATTGCAGCGGCACATCCCGAACTCACCTCGCAATCGTGGGCCGTGTCGTCCACTCCAGGATAGAACGGCGCCAGCTTTCCCTTCAAAACCAGCTTCTTGAACTTTCTGGCTTCGGCCGGCTCTAGCGCTGAGCCCTGGGGGGTGAGGAACTTCTCCGGAACGTCCGGCTTGCCCAGACGCTGCCCCATCGTCCGCAGGCGGCAGAGCATGGAGCGGAGTCCAGCAACACGGCTGGCATTAGTCCACCGAACATTCTTTTACCCGCCGACAAACAAAACGCTGGCAGCTGCCGGACAACCGGAACGCCCCTGTGTGGCACAACCAACTGTTTTTTGTGTGGGTTGGCCGTGGCGTTGATAGAGTGCTCATCATCATCATCGTCACAGCGATGGAGCGGCCATGAATCCTGAAAATGTCGCCGTGCGCTGTATATCCGTACTCTGCTGCTCCCGGAGCATTGCCGAATGCACGAAGCCTCAATTCCACTGGGCCATCAGAGCCTGCTGGATTACAGTAGGGGTTCCTATTTTGCGCCCCACCCCACCCCCCGTGACATGGCCAAAAGGGGGGCTCTTGAAGGAAATGCCGTTGATGCAACTCAAACGGCCCCCTTTGGAGTGCACACGGGAAGCGCGAATCCACGATCGCCGATGCTTCAACGGCATTGGTACACGGCCAGACGCAGGGCCACAGCACACACAAACCGCCCAGGGCTTACATATTTGTTCACCCTTCCCACAGCGAAGAGCCTTGCCGACGGCGGCAACGACCCCCGCAACTGAACCGTTCGAATCTTCTTGCACCCACAGAACTTTCCTTTTCATGTGACAAGGACCATCACCCATCATCAACCAGCCATACCACACTTCAGAGATGCCCATTCATCACCACAATGCAACCCACTTCATAAAACATATGTCAAAGGTGCCCATACACTCAGTGGTAATGTGCAAATATGTACAAGTCGCACGCCATAATGCATAAGTGATCCACCCAGTGAAACGGCGGTCATTATGCGGTGTTGCGAACATGGGCGCTATTGGGGGCCGGTGGCCCTATTGTGTCAAGGTGATACCCTGAGCAACCGATGTAAAGTGTACCCTGGCCGCCAGTGTAGGGAGTACCCTAAATTGCCGGTGCAGGGGTATCATAGCCACCAGTGTAGGGGGTACCCTGGCTGCCAGTATAGGGTGTACCCTGGCCGCCGGTAGGGGGTACCCTAACTGCCAGTGTATGGGGTACCTTGACCGCCAATGTGGGGGGTACGTTACCCCCAGCCTACTGGGTCCATACCGGCTTTGGGGGCCAGCGACTGTCGCGGCGCCGAAGTCGCGGGCGCTGGGGCCTGTCACAGTGAAACAAAGCACTACGGGAACGGTGACGAGCCGTACAGGGAGTCCCTAAGCTTAGACAGGTCGCTAAATAGGGGTCGCTAAACCGGACCCCTGTACTAGTTTGAGGTCCCACTGCGCAACAAAGCTGCATAAAGTACTACATTAATGGTGACATGCCAAAACAGAGGGCGCTATTGGGGGCCGGGGGCGCTATTGGAGGGGCGCTATATAGGGACCCCTGCTGTACCAGTTCTGCGACCGATCGCCAATACCACTAGCAGGCGACGCGGCCTCGCAGCAATGCCTTTGCCACTCCGTTCTCCCGTCAGCCGTTGCCTCCGCATCCGGAGGGAGACTGGCCACACGGTCTCTTGGGCTCCCCCCGGCCGCTTCCCGGCGCGTTTGAAGTCCAGGGTTCATCCGTCCACGGAACCGCATATCCCCGGCCATCTCCAGCGCCAATCAGTGCTGGCCTTGGGCCGGGGTTGTAGACGGCAGGTTGTCCTGCCTGTGCAGCGTCGCACACTCTGGGGGCTATCGCCGCCGTGGCGTCCAGCTGTGGATAGCCTGGTCCCCTGGGCCCAACCAATATTCAAGGACATCGAAGGGACCCGGGGGCGCACTGGCACGTTGCGAGCGGAGACCATGGCGTCAACGAACACGGGCGGCGCGACAAAGAAGCTTCTGATCATCGACACTGACCCTGGCATTGGTGTGTAGCCTGGCGCCCACTCTGCCGCTTTTCCTGCGCTCCCTCTTGCCTGATTTCCTGGAAACGCTGTTTTGCTGCACTTGGTCCTGTCTAGGCTCTCGCTTTCCCTCTGGCTTTGCGACATTTGCTGGATTTAGTCACAATAGGTGCAGTTGGGTTTCGTCCTGACGATTCTGTGCCTAAAGAGAGCAATGGAGGGAACACTGCTCAGTGATCGTCACCGATCTGTGTGGTTTGCCAGTTTGGCTCACTGTTATTCTGTGTGAGTTGCTGGGTGCGTACAACCCCTTGCGTTGTCATGGATGTGGAGGTGCCCCAAGTGGCATAAAGAGAGGAACCTCACGCAGGGCATGTGCCTTGACAAGCGAAGTCCAGTGCGAACTCTTGCAAAGGTCCCCACTGACAGTCTGGTGGTGCGTGTGAAGACGATGCCATGGCGATCTTTGCTGCCTTCAACTCGCCGGAGGTGGATGTCATTGGCTTGACGACCCTGTTCGGCAACGTCAAAACATCCCTTGCCACGGAGAACGCCCTCAGACTGCGGGAGTTGGCGGGAAGGGAAGATGTGCGTGTTGAGGGTAATTTGCCTCCCTTTACAGCCCTTCCTTGCAGCAGGTTGAGCAGTGCTCCAACTCCGCACTCGCACTGAGTGCTCCCTAACTGCCAAAGCCTGCTTCATGGTCGCAGGTACCTGTCATCGAGGGATCGAGCTCAACCTTTGCAGGTGTTCCAAACAAGCGTGTGGCTGACTTTGTGCACGGCCAGGATGGATTTGGAAACACTCACCAGCCCCGACCTAAAGTAATCACACTCCAACAGCTTGATCAACTGTGAGTTCTCTGTAGTTTGTTGCTGTCGCGCATATGGGGGGGTGCCAAGTGGGCTGCGGGCTCTGGGTTTTCATCGTGCACAGGGGCCCGACTGAACGATGTTTGTGTTTTACAAACCCCAGTTTGTATGCTGAACACATCTGGAGTTGGCATTCTCTCAGGCATCGGTGTCGCTCCTTTCTCTGATGATCACATTCCCAGCATGTGTAGTTTTGCTCATGTTGGTGCTCTTGCCAGATCAGTGTGCCTCAGCATTGACGCCGATCTATCAATGCTGTTGAGACAGGGCAGCAAAGAGGAAGCCATGTCTGCTGCTGAATTCATACAACAGAAGGTCAGCCAACATCCTGGGAGGATCACCATTCTGGCATTGGCGAGTTTGACTAATGTGGCCCTGGCATTGTCTCTGGATGAAACGATTGGAAGCAAGTGGGTGGGTGAGCGCCTCAGAGCCAGTCGCCGCTTTGTGGGAACCAAATGTGGCTTTTGCTACTGTTTTGCCTCATTGCTGACAGAATAGAAAACAATTCTATCCATGCCTTGTGCTTGGCACTGCCTGACTTCAACATTGTGGATCAACAGTTATCTGACCTATGCCTATTTGTTTGTGTAACAGTGACAAAGCTTAGGAATATCCTTTTGGTGCTATTTGTTCTGGAAGAGGTTTTCTATTTCTCAGTTTATTGACAGTGATGACTTCCGTTTTGCTTCCAAATACCAAGCCCCAGTATTGCAATATTGTGCAAAATGAGTTGGTCATTTCAACTGCCACACGATACTGATGGTCGCCAGGCACTCCACATTGTGGGTCTTGCGAATGCCATGCCAAGGTTATCACCACCATCTATGCCCTCCCAGAAGTACAGCAGATGGTACCAACGTGGCCATGCTGTCAAGAAAGCTTAGTTATTTGTATGCAGATAATTGCTCATAGAAAGGTCGCCCTGGGTGTCCCCTCCTGTGTCTTGCCGGGATCCAAGTTCACTGAACGTTACCCTGGCCAACCACAGTACAGCAATATAAATTTCAATCAGAAACTCTGCCACAAGTGTTGTGTGGCAGTCAACTGCACAACAAATGGTTTGGTGCCCTCTCTTCCTACTGGTGCATCCAATACCATCCGGTGTGAGAAGGAGTGCACAATTCTGATGCTGATGTGCTCACATTTTCGAATTCTCGATTGACTGCATTGATCAACGATCAAAGCACACAGCCAGATTGGTGTGGTGTTGTGGTAGTAACGTTCTGAATGTGCCTGTGTCTTGTTTCCTGCCAGGCTGAACTTGTATATTTGGGGGGGGCATTCTTTAGGAATGGGAATGTTAACCCAGCTGCTGAAGCCAACACCTTAGGTGACCCAGAGGCAGCAGATTATGTCTTTGGATTGGGCACCAACATCAAGGTGGTGGGGATGGATGTCACAGTAGGGTGCCAACTGACAGCAGCCGAAATGGAAGCCCTGGATAATGGGAGCACAAGCGGGCGGTTCTTGCATTCGATATCACGATTCTACCAAGATTTCTACAGAAAGCACCATGGCATCAATGGTGTGTGTCTGCACGACCCCACTGCGTTTGTAGCAGTCATCGCCCCGGATCTCTTCAAATGGGCAGAGGGGTGTGTGCGAGTGTCGACCGATGGCATCACAAGGGGCATGACAGTAATGGATGGTGAGCTGCATTCAGTTTCCAAGTGGACGCCTGCTCATCAACGCTCTGATGGTCTTTTGTTGACCTACTGTCAATTTTGTGTGCTTTGTTCCAATGCATGAAAAGATTTGGTTTCATACATTGACAACGCACAAGTCGTAGCTGACAGCACCAAGAAGTTCCAGCGAATATGCTTAAAATGGCTGTGTGGGGTGGTTGGCATGGTTGGGTGGGGTGTGGGGGCTATGTTTGGCAGCAAACAGTGTTGCCCTCATGATTCAATAATATGCCATGCTGGACACATCCTAGATGGGTATCAATGGCCTCATCAGTTCTGTGGGCAGCTAGTTGGTGCACACATGTAACATTCAACGGATGCTGTGTGCTGTCTTCCTCCTGCTGTTCATGGCCTCTTCCTGTTGCCATTGATTGCAGGTCAATGGCCTCAAAGCTACTGTCATTCTGACGTGCCCTTGTGTGATTTTTGCCATCTCAGCTGGGTTGTGCAACTGGGCTGAGGCTAACGCATGGAGTGGGCGCCCGCGAGTTCAAGTGGCGCTTGGAGTGGACGAGACCCAAGTCGTGCAGCTCATCAAGGGGCGCATGTGCAAATGATCCATCAAGATAAGCTGACAGGAGATGTCTGGCGGGCCTGCCGAGCCCCTTGGCTCGCTGGTGCCTCTCCAGGTTGCTTTTCCGTTGCATGATCTTTATTGATGGTGAAAGACCACCATGTGGGAATGTGACCAACCGCGCCAACCCACCCACCCTAGCTGGGCAGATTGCCGTCTCCTGGTGACTGGCCTGGTTCGAGAAATATTGATCGTCTGGGAGACGTAACCTTCAGCTAACTTGATTCAGCAAACAACGCAGATATGTACTATCTACAACTCGTCGTGGTCAATTGGCTGTGACTCCAACCACTCTGACAGACTCCCATTTCAGGTATTGATATGCGGGAGGCGACAAAGGAAGAGAATTACTCCTGTTGCACGCCCATCATTCGCAGACGATCTAACTGGCATCCCAGAGGAGGCTGTGCGCCGTTATGCTCATGCTAATTGTTACGAAAGTGCTTCCACCTCAATGACCATGCTGCTGTAGGTGGCTGCCCATTAAAAAAAAAGGTCTCCACAGACGGCACGGGCAGCCGATGCACAGGGCAGCTGTGTGAAAATACCGAAAAACCAAGATGCCCCTGCCAAAGAATATTAATGCCATGGGCAACACGCTAGAAAACTGACATCGGCATCTAACAATTATTGTAGAATGCCCAGAAATGTTTTGAAGCCTTCTTCTGGATGGGGCATCACTTGAAGCATCGCATATCAAACAAATTGTGCATGGACGCTGATCGCTGATGCGTTTCACAACGTCATCACTCCTGATCGCGACATCGCCTCGCGTCTCTGTCACACCTCTGTCGATGATCATGATCGAAAGGCGTACTGCATCCTTCTCTCGTTGCAGTCAGAATTGGAGTATGTTCACGCCGCGTTTCATGTATGGCAGTGAGCAGCTGACAGTTGGTCAGTGTCTTCGCAACTTGCACCAAAATTGTATTATACTGAGAAGCATGCAAGGCCACAAGTTACACCAAAAATCGATTTCTTGCAACCTAAGCCATGGAAATAAATGAGGTTTGGAACTCTGTGCAGACAGCTGGGATTGGCCACCCATATGCTGACGATGCATCTTGCGTCATGTCTGCAAAAGCCCCTCCGCCAGAAACCTGCCGCGTCCAAACCAACAAGTGCCCACGCCTGCGCCTGAAATCATAAGCATCCGTGACGCTCCAGTGCCAGTTAGACCCAAGAGCGAAGGTGGCGAGGGCTAGTTTGGGCGCCCGGAGATCCCACCTGCCCTGGGCGCATTGGCCGACATGTAACACAGACCATGGGACAAGATGGGCAACCGAGGCGTTTTCGCTTGATATGTGAGTTCAAGCTTGCCTGGCACACCATTCTCGTGATTTGCCATTGATGGGCAGCAGACAACGAATTTCCCCGTCGGTTGTGCATGCCTGCGTGCGCTGTAAATCCCCTACGCCTTCAGCTGCCTCCTTATCCAATCCAACCCGCCAAGACCATGCATGTCCAAACGACTTGCAAGTGCCAGCGTGCAGTGGTGCAATCGGCCTTGCACCACCATTGCCGGCACACTGCTCCCATTTCCTGCATGGCCCAGTCTAGTTGCCTTCATCGCTTTTGATCCCCAACCCCACCCCCCTGATCCCAATGTCGGTGGGGGCTTCGACAGCCTAGGAGCATGGGGCTACGTAGCCCGGATATGCACGCCAAGTGTATGAATGCCAGCCCACAGGGATTGAATATGCTCGATTTCAGGAATGTTCAGGGAACGGCCAATAAAACATACAAGCTGGTTTCAATCCCCCTCTGAGCGATGTGTGCAATTTCTATGTGCGTGTCGGTTGCTGGGGAATTGCGAATGAAGATGTCACGCTCTGCAAGTGAGGGAATAGTGTATCTCCAGTACCAATTTCTGTGACTTTCTAGCCCTGAATGGCCTCATCTCATCCTTGCCGGCAAAGCGTAGGTGGGTCGCTGGATGGGAGTTTTGGTGTTGTGTTGCTTCTTGGCTTGAATTGGCGGGGAAAGCCTCGACTCTGGCCCTTGCAATGTGCGGCACCCAGCCTGCTCATCCCGTTGCTGTGGTCCTTATAGCATGTCGACACGGTGCTTAAATAAGACATTCAACCATAGGCGTGGTGATAACGAATTGTCATCGCACAGGTCGAAAGGTACCAGATTCAGAGTCCCTCCAGCGAGTCACCTGACGCAGGCTTCCTCACCAATAGCATGGAGAGTATGCCTGGCCTGCTGATGGGGATGCAACTTCCTGGCTCCCTCCAATCGGCTCAGATACGGTCGGCCTCTTGTTTGTATTCAAGGAATGGTCTCTCCGAGTATCTACATATTGTGTGGGAGGATAACCGTCAATAGCGGCAGCGATTTGGTCATAGTCCAAGTCAGCGACGTCGCCATCCCGTTGGCTCATTCCTTGTACACTTGAAGACTACGCTGGCTCATTTTTACGCCCTTAAGTATGTACGATCATAACGGTTGATCATTGCATGCGCAATGAGATTTACTGTACAGTAGCATCACTCTCTCAATGTATCCTTTGCCCATTTCTCCTTGCCGTAGGGCCAAGTAGTGTAGAAGTCGGCACCAGAATTCTTTCGCACCAACTTTTGATGTTCCATTGACGGCATTAGAGAATTGGTGGGTCTCGGTGTTTGGGTTGGCGACGGCCAGTTGCAAGACCCCTAGATTCAGATCATCACAACTCAAGGTTTCATCTTCCATCCACCCAGCGAGTCTTGTTGTCAAGGCAACCTCTCTTTGCACATACTCATCGCCGGTCTCTTTGTTCCTGAGGACCACTGAGGCATTTGCGGAGCATACTCGTCCTTCGTGGTCTCTTTGGTATTTCTTATTTCATCAGTTCATCGGTTGGCAACTTCAACGAAACAAGTAAAGAGGTCACTAAGAGCTTTGATGACTCATCCACAATGGCGGCGATTCGTGTGGGCAAATTCATATTGTTTCCTGTGTACAGGGATATCTTGTTCTTAGTTTCTTTGTTGCAACATTCAAATCGCATTATCCCTTTTTTCACATAGTGTGTCAGGGATTCGTCGATCATCCATTCTGGGAGTTCGGCCATCATATCAGCGACTCCCTGCACGTATTCCAGACCAGCCTCTGCTTCCTCGAGTTTATGGCATTGTAGTTGATTGTACCAGAAATTGGCTTCAAAGTGTATGATTTTTCCTTCTGGCACTCATCTGACAGTTCGCTGCTTACGGTTGCGTCAAAAAGGTTAGCAGTTGCTGGCCGTTGCTGGCAGCTAGGACCTGAGGCAATTGAATTTGGCTGTAGTCGTATCCTAGATCTATGATGCGCCCCTTGACTTCTAGGCTCCGCTGTGAATTTATGACTCCTTCAATAGCATGCTGCTTGAAATGGTTTCACCCATAGTTGCAGGGCAGCTTGTTCATTATGAGGAAGGCTTTCTTCAAATAATCCTTTCCTGAGTCTTTTGCTTCGATTGTTAGTTCTCTCCACTGCTGCTTCCAAAAGTCCGTGAATTCAGTTGTTTCGTGCTGTCTTTCTTTCTGTCCTGCTGTGCAAGAAGAGTACTGATATGAGGTGTCCCGTTGATGACGTTGTATTTCTTCTTCCTGTGAGTACGATCTTGCACCGTTGTCCTCGTTGGGCTCAGATGTCTGGTTGCATCGATTGTTGCGTTTTGAGTCTTCTTGGGGCTACCAATGTCACTCATGCTTTGGCTTTCCTGATCCCGACTATCACTGGTGGTGTCTTTCCTTGCCCTCTTCATCATTTGGGTCGGAGTGTCAGTATCGTTCCCCCACTGAGTGTGAGAGATTCCTCGGTCGACATTTGAATCGCTGCATAAGTTAATGTAGGCTGCTGTGGGGTGCGGATTTTGGTGTAAATTTCGAATTTTCGCCCCCTGTTTGGCGGTAGTCCTACCCTCTCCGAAACCAGATTGTTACGCACACGTGGAAGCTTCCGCTAGGTGAATTCTGTCGGAGGTGGGCCCAAGGAGCCAGCATGCGTAGGTTCTTGTATTTTCGTCGTTCAGGGTCCCAAACTCGGTAAAGGACGTCAGGGAACGAGACAAAGAACACAACAGGTCACAGGACCTGGGTGACGACGCCGAAGGCTTGTCGTTTGTGAAGCAAGGACACGGTTTCTTGCCTACGAGTGCTTTTATAGACCTATTCGAGAGTTCAGATTGGGTTCGAAAGAGTGAGTTCGGAATTCGAACCAACATCAAGGTTCCTCAGACTGGTATCAAGATTCACTCAAAGGGCTCTATATTTATAGCCCGGTCAGGCCGCGTCCCCAAAGGACACATGGCGGACCCCATGTCACGTCATTTTCCCATGCAAGCCGCGTCATTCGCAGCCCTGCGCCCAGAAGTCATTCTCCAACCATCAAAAGGCGCGGCCTTTCACCCAAGGGATCCAAGTGCCTCCCCAAACGGCCAGCCTCCCCGTCACTTCGTTCCCAAACATCACAAAACGTCTCCCAAGAGTCACCCGCACGCTCAGAGTCATAATACAGTCAGCCTGGCATACACCTCACATGATCATCTATCAATAGCGGCCAGTGATGGCCAACGGCTACCATACACTCAGAATTGTGTTTCCACTCCCAGCACTAAACACGGTAGTTGGACATGACTAATTTGTGATATCGTGTCGGCGGCTCAAATGGCTCTTTCAATAGGCTACTTCAGCTCCGCCTTCCATGAGTTCTCCATTGCAGTGTTAGCCATCAGAACGTGCAGTACACTTCAGTACTTGGTCACCATCTGTTGTTGTGACACATTCTCTTCTGATTAGTTTGTGTAGCCTGTTCCTGTATTCCTCGCAGCTGTGATGCTCCAAGGTGAGCCATTCCCTATATCCCTAGACATTTTGCGTAATATCCGTTCAGCGTGCGTTTAGGTGCACATCGGTCTAGCATCATCTTTTCTTCGCGTTGCATTCATCAGCTGACGTCACAGCTGTTAATGGCGGAAGTCGTCAGGTCACAACTTCCAGCGTTTGATGCCTCGTTTGGCTGTGCCGCAGGTCGCCAGGTGGCTGTGAATCTCTTGTCGCTTGGCTTTGATGATGTGACGTCCCAGCTCGTGGTGGCGTGAATCGTCGTCTCCAGCTGTGGATCTCCAGGTGATGTGGCTGCTGTTTCCATTATAGTTTCAGTGATTTCTGAGTGCTCTTGGTTGACGGTCTTTGGTAGTTTATTTGTTAATCTTATGAGTCGCCGCATAGTCGTCGCAGTACTCCTCGATGGCAGGGCCACATGTCCTCTTGTCGTGGCTCGTGACTTGTTGGAGTCCAAAGTGATTCCTGGGTGGCATGTCATGTGTTCGTGGTGCATGACAAGTCTGGAACTCTCTTGCGTTCTCTCTCCGAAGTCACCGGACTTAGTGCTGAGATGGTGTGTGGTTACGTCGCAGATTATTCACTGCTTTCCTCTATGAAGGATGGCCCGCTGTCCCCACGCCGGCAGGCTGGTGCGGGGACATCACACCAGCGATCCCCATGGCGATGTGCAATATCGGCGACGTGGGTCACCACAGGGTACCCCCACCCACCCCCCACGCCCAGCCCCCTCTTGGGGCCCTTGTTGCCTGTGGCAACGTGCAACGCCAGCGACGTGAGTCACCAGGGGTACCCCACACCCCTCTCCTATGCCCTTGGTGCTTGTGAGCCCCATGGCGACGTGCAATGCCGGCGACGTGCATTGCCACAGGGTACCCGCCCACCCCCTCCCAGAACCCTTGGTACCCATGAACCCCTGTGGTGATGTTCAACGTCAGTGACGGGCATCGCCACAGGGTACCCCGCAACCCCCTCCTGGGGCTCTTGGCGCTTGTGATCTCCGTGGGGACGTGTGGCGTTGGCGAAGGGCGTCACCACAGAGCCCCCCCCCCTCCCTGCCCTATTCCTTCCCGGGGCCCTTGGTGCCCCATGGCGACGTGTGACGTCGACGATAGGCGTCGCCACAGGGTACCCCCCATCCCTCTGCTATGTCCCGGGGCTCTCGATGCCCCGACGCGACGTGCGACATTGGCAACGGGCGTCCCCAAAAGGTAAACACACGTGCACTCCCCGGCCCCTGTTGTGACGTGGCTGCTTGGGGTTTAGACCTCATTGACATTTTCTGGAGAGGAAAATAGGTATCTTGAAAAATCGCCTCTTGAGGGCGTTATTTAGAGCTTCTTGGTTCCAATGCGCCTTTAAACGCCCAATTCCATTAAGAAACAACGAAGCTATGGCCTCCTATAGTTGTGGTACTTAGGGGCAGGGGGTCGGGTGTTAGACGCTTGAAATTAGAGGACAATTGGTCGATCATAGGTGAACGGTGGACAGTGACGATATGCCTGGACGTGCATGTGTGTTGTCTTGTCTTGATGTGACAGCAATGGACCTGCGATCGGGCATCGCGCATGCAGATTTGTGCGCGCGCATGCAGTGAATCGTGTAACACTTTTCTGGCCCACTCTCTGGCCTCCCGCGAGCCAGCGAACCACTGCCTCGCTGCGCCGCCACTGCTCGCCAACAGCAGGCCCCGGGGATCGATCCCCGTCAAACATTGGGCCCACCGTGCGACCGCCGAACCATCTGCCCCGGATACGCCCAGCGTCCAAGGTGGAGACAGCTGGCTGACTCCAACAGCCGAGCTGCAGGGCAGGGCGGCCCCAGCGCCTCCGGAAGCCAGCGGCTTCCAACGGGGCCGCAACAAACCCCCTTCCCACCAGCGACGGAAGCCAGTGACGCAACTCCCCCTCCCCTCCCGTTTTAGCGACGTCGTCAGATGTTGAGGCTTTTCTTACGGGGGTCTCCTTGGGACATCTCAACTCGATCCACGTCTACGCAGATAGATAGATAGATATTTTAAAGGCCAAGACAAGCTTGCCCTGCCACACGCCAAGGCCCGGCAATGGGGAGATTCCCGTGTTAGCGCTGCTTGACTTCAAAAGATTGGCAGTGTTCCTTGCTAAGATTGAGGGCTCTATGAAAGTATGGTACACATTTCATCTTTCACTCGATTGGCCCAATGGCATCTGTCCGATACACTTGTCAATCGCACAATGTGACACCCTTGTACTTGTAAGTCATCGTAGATCGCCATTTTGCTCTGCGACGTCCAGAACGTATTGTTACTTAATATACCTAACAATTTGTTAGATATAGCAAAACGTTATGGGGAGCCCACTGCTCGATATGATTCGTATTGCAGCAGTCGGTGGCCAGCACAGATTTTTTTGCATGTGGGCATGTGTCACAGCCCTGTGCAGAGGTGACCATCGGTCACTCCACATTCAAGTGCCTTCGCTGGCTGCCGCCATGTCATTGTCATCAAGCCAAGTATGAACTGGACGTTTAAGCCAGTGGACGGTTTGCTGCACTCCCATCTGTGGGACACTCTGCTGGTTCGCAAAGACCTCAGGCACCAGGTTGTATGTTTATTGTACCCATCGCCTCGTTGGCGCCAGTGGCTCCTTTGTGTCAGTTGGGTACCACCACATTGCATGGTTCACATGCTGCACACATGGTTGCATGTTCAGTGCAAGCAACAGCTCCAAGGCAAACAAGGGAATGCAGCCTAACGAGCAGCAGCAAATTACATTAGAGGACAGGCTACCACTACATGTCAGCTGGCGGGCAAGGCCAGACGCAACACACCCAGCTTTGTGCTCATACATTCCCTGATGGCTTGGCCTCCCTATGTTCACTCACAGCACTGTTAACATCGACTCTAGAAAGGTAGACACATGCAAATTCGCCTCAGAAACACTATTTGAGCTTCACTCTGACCTACAGCTCCCTAATAAATTGCCTGAATGCTCGTCCACAACAAGGCATGAACAACAACTACGCAGTTGCTAATGTCAGGACCCGCAGCTCTACACTATCGTCCATCCCGTTACCCATCAAATCCGCCCACTAACCAACCATCCAACTTCCATTTCGCCCTTATCCTTGAGATCAGTACCACCGTGATGCTTCACCAGCACAAGCACCCATTTGAATCCGAGAAACAACCTGATGTTGTCACAAAAGCATTGCATCCTGAGCACCCCTTCCCTCCAAGACCATCCCACACTGCTGAATATGTTGTCTTCGAGGATAAACCAAAGCAGACCTGAGGTGGCCATGTTCATATCACTTCTGGCTCAGTCAACCAAAATGGCACCCACAAAATTGCAGTTTCCAACTGGGCTCCAGTGCCTCTCGCAAGCGAAGAGACACCCCAAATCCAAGCTACTGGTTGTGAGAGGCTCTGCTTCTTAAGTCCACATAACAAATGAACACCCACTGTGCTCGTCTCAAGGGCATATTTGTTGCAACCCAGCAACATCGATAGGTCGGTGGGCCACAGACCAGCCACAACTGTTGCTGCCCTCTTCCCTCACAATGGACCCAGCAATCTTCTTGTAACTTACAGATTCCGGCCTTCTAGCAGGCTGTGCTCAGTGCTTCTGCCCTGACAAGACACTCAAACCATGGGCTAAAGTGCCCGCCAGGGCTTTTGCATCGCAGCAGCTGGCAACATCAGTGCAATGTGGCGGTGGACGACGTGCACACACCAATCTGAGGTCCAACCCAGACTTTGGAATGGAGCCTACTTGTCGATAAGCGACAGTTTATTTGACACCCCAACAAGGGACGACGTGCTCCAGGGTGCCTCAAAATAGCAGAAGGCACAGGATCACAAAGGATCCGAGGAGAAGCAATAGCCGGGACAGAAATGCCTGGTGCTGCTGCTCGGGCGTCATGGCGGACCCGTGGCCTCCCCCGTTGATCCCGATTAGGAGGCCCAGGAAGCCAGGCTGGGGGCTGGACTGGCCAACTCCAAAGGACGATGCCAGAGATCGAGCAGCAACCTTTGGCCGCTGGCCTGCAGGTCGAGGCGGCAGAGGCTGCCTTCCTTCCGGGGCCTCCTGGCCTTCCGCCTGCCGGCAGTAGATGGGAATCACCTCGCTCACGTCCATGTTGGCCTTGCATACAGGGCACTTGTCGTTGTTACCGCCAGCCTGGGACTGCAGCGACTGGTTCCATCGAAAGAGGCAAGGCCAGCAGTACAGGTGCCCGCACAGCGTCACCACGGGGTCCTTTGCCAGATCCAGGCAGATGTTGCACTCAAATGGGGATGACTCCTCGAAGGCATCCTCGCCCTCCAGGCTACCGACAGGGAGGCGCTCGCCCTGGACGGTGGGGCCCCGCGGCTGAGCCGCGGTCTCTGATTCAGTGGCCATCCCTTGGGCGTGGCGCGCAGCACGGTGGTTCCCCTTTCCGCGCTGGGGCGTGGCTGAAAAGACGAACGCGCCCATCGGAAGAAAATGGAAGATTGAGTGTATCTTAACAACTGACCATTTGACCTTAAATCATATTACGCCATTTCCTCTCGTCCCGTTACGCTATCGCGCTTTCCCCGTTTCCGGTCCACTCACGCCCTAACGGTTTGCCAAATGCCCCGATCCGGGGGCGGGCCTCATGGTCCGCCCCCGCCCGGAACGGAGAGGGACATATGCCTCGTATTTCAATCGTCAACGGCCCTCCGGCATCCTTAACGGTTGCGATTCCTGCTTTGGTGCCATACTTGAGCGCCTAGCCACGCATACCCTGATATGCCATTTTCCTCCCGAAGGAGGCGAGAGGGCCGTTTCCAGGCATACCCAACCGTTCGGCCCAATCGTGGGCTGCAAAGGCAATTGCCGCATGCGGACTGACGGAGTGTACCGCGGGGATAGGAGGTGCAGGAGACCCGGGACGAGGTACTAGGGGGACCAGTGGCGGCTGTCCGAGGTGAGGAGTGGACAGTAGACGAGATGAACAAGCAATACCGAGCAACGCGCGAGGCGCATAGGGCACGGGTGGAGCGGATTGCCGAGAAGAGGCTGCCGCAATGAAAGCAACGAATCGAGCAGGAGTTCGTGAATTGGTGGGCCCGGCGGCCTGCGGAGTGGCAGCAGGGCCCGCCACAACTGGAAGATGTGATAACCTTCTTGGAGTGGGTTTCTCGGAGGTGACAGGGATGGGCACGGATGCACACGGAGAGTGGGGAAAGAGTGTGGCACTTCAACACGATGGAGAAGGAAGTCAGCCACCTGAGTAGTTGGTTCCGCCGGAATGGGCGAGAAGGCGACTGGCAAAGCGGGGACAGGAGCGGGAATCCGTGTAGGTCGGACTGCGTCCGGACCTGGAAGAAGACCTACCGTGCCTCCCAGCAGGTGCAGGGGGTAGGAGAGAGTAGCGCGGAGCCATTAAGGGTGGAATGGTATCGAAAGATGCTGGAAACCTGCCAGCACGAATTAGAAAGCGAGGCAGATCCCTTGCGAAGAGGCCAGGTATGCGGAATGCGCTGTTGCTGACCTTTCTATGGGAGACAGGGCAACGAGTCAGGCCCCAGCTGGGACCATACATGCGGGACATGATAGTGGATGAGTGGGGCCGCCCGGTCTTCGCGGGCGCCCGCGACGGGGTTGCGGGCCGTGGAGGGGGCAATCATGCTGGATGTATGGGCCCTAAAGACCACGACGGAGTTCCGGCCAGGACGGGTTAAGATAGACCAGCGCCAGGAGCCGGGGTTCCTGTGTTGGTTCAAAGTCATGGGGGACTGGCTCCGGCAGCATGAGCGCGGAGACATTCGGGTGTTGCTACCTGTCTGGAAGCGCCACCACAGGCCGCAGAATCAGTCCGTGGATGCGATGGAAGCCACCCGCATTATGCGCCAATGGGCGCAGTGAGTCGATGCACCAGAAACCTTGACTTACTACAGCAGCAAGCGGGGAAGCCTACAGCACAGACACCATGAACTAGGGATGTCGATAGCTGATGTGGCCAGCCAGACGCTGTTACGATCGGTGGGCACCGTGGAGCGGTATGTGGATCGGGGGCGGCATTGGCATCACTAGGTGCAGGCCGAACGAAGGGTGAGAGCGAGAACCACAGGGCATGAGCGGGCGGGAGAAACGGGACGGACCCCATGGCGAGTGTGGGGTGGGCCACCGCCGGAGCTCGAAGCGCGGCTGGCGACCGTGAGCAAACCATGAGACCGAGACAATCACCAGGAGTATGTCGCAGGAGACTTTTAACAACCAGGTTGTGATACAAACACCCGCACCCACGGGTATCATCCCGAGGGTTTCGGCGAGCCTGATGCTCCCGATCCCCAAAAGAACCAAGGGCGGATCACTGCCCCATGCCAAGTGATGGCACGAGGCAACACTAAGGGGCCGCGGAGCCCGGGTAGGGACGAGAGCAGGGGCTCCCACGCACGACATGCGGTGGGCAGCACCACAATGGCAGCGGACCAGTGGCGGGTGAGCCGCTGGAGCGCCTGTCCGGCGAGACGAGGCGGGGGGTTGACCCACGCGTAGCCTCGCTCTCGGTACCAGTCATGCGAGAAAGCATCAACCCTACGGACTGGCCGTCGAAGTAGCGAGAGAAATACCGTTCACAAACCGCTGTGGATGCGGTCGCAAACACATCGAGGGTAATCAAGGCAGGATCGATGGCCAGCTGGTGACAGATCCATACGACGGCCTCGGGTTTGAAACCCCAATCATGAGGGTCATCAAGCTTACTGAAGAAGTCGGTCTGAACTTGCCAAGGATCTTCCCTGTTCGACCAGACCAGCTCAAGTTCCACATCGTTCTCCCAGGCCAACAAATGAACCTCCCGAACAAGAGGGAGGCATTCATTGACGCCCTTTTGATGGTCAATGCAATATTTGCTGGCCTGGCTGTCAGTGTGGTATAAAAGGCGATGCGCCTTCACCATGCCAGGGGCACATGCGAGCAAGGTTCGCAGAACAGAATGGACTGCGAACAATTCCCTAGCTGTGGAGCTAGCACCGATGAGGTGCGAAGGAAGTGGCACCTGTAGGGGAAAAGGAAGAGCCCCGCCAGGAAAGAATGCGCCGGCGTGCATATCTGACGCATCACCGGCTGCGACAGTCGTCTCGCGAGCGCTGGGCCAGCGCCGGCCCTCCACCCTGTGAAAGTTATCTCTCCACCACTCTAGCTCGACGCGCACCGATTGAGGTGTAGGGAAGATCTCATCCCAGGATTGTGTCCCAACGAGGGCGGCAAATAAATGCCTGGTAAAGACTGGGCACAGATTAACGGTCATGCTCATAGAGACGATGAGTCCCGTAACATGGGCATGCTGACAAGGAGTGATGTGTTCGCCAGCCAAAAGGTCGTGCACGGTAGAAAGGAAGTAGCTGCGCTTATCCGCAGGGACGCGAAATGCGCCCACACCGGAATCGACCTCCAATCCGAGGAAGCACTGGATCTGCTTCGGTAGCCAGTCTGCTTTTTTGGATGAGAATAAAGTCCCGAGGGCAGTCCCGATGAGGGCCAATACTAGACCGTCCAGCATGCAGAGTTGCGGGGTGGCCGCAGCTCCGTAGCGGTCATCAATGAGGAAAGCCATCAAAGATCCAAAGTGCCAAAGAGGCCTATAGAAAGCGGTCTGGATAAGAGTGAAGGCCGCGCACGCGGACGCCAAACCGAACGGCAGGTGGGTTAGAAGCAGGGTCCTGCCTTTCCAATGCACCGCGAGGAACGGCCAGTTGCACCGGCGCATGCGCAGGTAATGATACCCAGACTTCAAATCCGTTACGATGGCGTAACACCCGCGATGAGCGAATGAAAGTACGTCGGACAGCTGCTCGTAGCGCACGGGTTCGTACCATACGAAGGAGTTGACATAACGAAGGTCAATCACCAGGCGCATCTTTGTGCGTTGGGTGACCACCGTTAGTGGGTTGACCACTTGCACGGGAGCATGGAGAGCGGGGTCAAACAACACCGCAATCCTTGTTTCCACTAGACCGCGGATGGCACCGTCCGTGAATTCTTCGTGGGCCAAGGCAGACTTCCTGTTGGGGAACACCATGAAGCCAGGGTGAATACCCGTCAGGTGTCCCAGGAGCTGGTCCTGGGGAAGCACATTGGCGAGCATGGCTCGTACCTCCTTGCGTTTAGCCTTAAAATGCGGATGCATTTGCTGGCAGGGCGACTCGGGGTCGACCCAGCCGATCGTATAACTGATATGAAAAGTCTGTGGGTGTGGGGTTCCTGCCCTCTTTGAGCCGCGGACCCACGTCGCCGGGCACCTAGGTCCTTACAGGGCACCTAGGCGGGACCACCCCTCCTACTCCCATATCCATATAAGTATAATGGTTACCGTGGGACAAGGAATACTATACGATCTTGGGCAGGGCGTCCCCCACACCAAGGACCATTAGTAGGGCGTCCCCCACATCAGGTCGGTGCGCGTAACATTCGTCCCCCTTAGGGAGAGGGGCGTCCTCGTCCCAATATGTGGATATGGGAGCAGAAACGTTATGTGTATGTGGATAGAACTGGCTGTGCGATTTGCCACATGCCCAGTTGGTATACACTACACAGTTAGTAGTGAAGAGAAAGAGTGGTTGTTTGTACATGACCTCCCGGTCTTCACAACCCTCATTAAAACTCTTCCTCAGCCAAATGGCTGGAATGTTCGACCTCCCGGCCTATGATCTACGACCCCGAGAGTGGGAACCACCAAACGCCCATGCAGGGGTGCGTCGGCCCGGTGCGGGACCTCGTCCTCGCCCGCGGCCATGCACACGCACAGCTCCACGAGGCGCCGGCACGAGCGGGTCGTCCAGATCCAATCTTTCTCCGTTCAAGATCGCAACGGACATGGTGTTCATGTGTCCAAATTGCATCTTGGCACGGGGGGCGGTGTACCCAGTGTTCTTCTGGGCCCAACGCAGGAGAACCTGTCAAAGCATAGTCACACATGAGCATGTCTCAGTATGTACATCCCGTACTTTATGCAGTTTGCATTCGCATCACAGGTGTTCTGCCATTTTCAAATGCTTGAACTAGTTCCTGTGCATTTGCAACTGACTTTGCTGATTCCCAGCTGTTATGCTCATGTCCATACCCTTGCCATTTGACAAGGTACTCAACATAGTTTTTGCGTCTCCCACGCTTTTTAATTCTTTTGTCAAGGATACGTTCAACTTCATACTCCAATTCACCTTCGATCTCGATGGTACTGGGGGTGGCTGTATTCTGCCACTTGCCTTATAAGGCTTGATTTTTGACACATGAAATACTGGGTGTATCCTATGCATGCTTTCCGGGAGTTCTAGTTGATATGCGACAGAACCTATCCGGTCGAGGATGGTGAAGGGCCCAATCCACCTCGGTAATAATTTTCGAGTTCCAGGGTGCTTGAGGGTGATATGTTG